GCGTAGGCTATAGGTAGGTCTTTTCCTACGGCTCCTTGGCTTAGTATCCCGCCTATGGCGTATCCCGAAGCATCAGTTGTAAGAACGAAGGGTTTGGTCAAATCGGGATATTGTAAGACAGATTGTGTGCACAGGGAGTCGCGGAGAGTTGCGAACGCTTGTTCTTGTTCCGAGTTCCATTTGAATTCTCTATCCTTTTTTAGGAGTTCCGTAAGGGGGAACGCTAATTTAGAAAAATTCGGAATAAATCGGCGATAATAACCCGTGAGGCCTAGGAATTGTTTGATGTTTTTTGCGTGTTTCGGCCTGGGGAAGTCTCTAACCGCGCGGATTTTCTCGGGATCCGGTTTCACTCCTTTATTACTGATAATGTGGCCCAAGTACCCGACTTCTTTCCTCAAGAATTCGCATTTGTCGGGCTGTAGTCTTAGATTGGCTCTTTTTAATCTTTCTGCTAGTTTGTTGAATTTAAGTTCATGCTCGCGCAAGAAGCTCGCGTACAGTACAATATCATCGAGGTAGACAAAGCACTCTGTTTCTTGTAAACCCGATAGAACTTGGTCCATGAGTCACTAGAACGTTGCAGGTGCATTTTTCAAACCGAAGGACATGCGGTTAAATTCGTAATGCCCGTGGGGAGTAGAGAACGCAGTTTTCTTCGCATGCATTTTGTCCATCGATATCTGATGGAAACCTGATGCGAGGTCAAAAACGCTGAAATACTTCGCGCTGCCTAATTGGTCTAGTATTTCGACGATGTTTGGGAGAGGGTACGCGTCACCTATGGTTTTTTCATTTAGCGCGCGATAGTCTATCACCACCTCTTGTTGCCTTTAGAGTCGGGCTTTTTGGGGACTATCCAGAGAGGAGAGTTATAGGGGAAGTCGGATGGTTTAACATCGTTATTTAGGAGTTCTGTGATTTGTTTATTTATTTCTTCTTTATAGATTGGTGGGAAGCGATATTGTTTCGTGTTGATGGGGTGTTCGTCGGTTGTGGGAATTTTATGTGATATGACAGAGGTGTGTTCCAGCTTATCGGTCGGTAATCTGAATAAGCTATCATGTTTTTGGATTAGGTGCGACACGTGGTTAGTTTCATCTCGGTTCAAGTGTTCTAGGCGAAGCAAGTCTCGGATGGCCTGAAGTCGATCGTGATTTTCCGAGGTTGATTCGGCAGAGTCCGCCAGCACTCCGCTGGTTGCTGTATGTTCGGTTTCGCCTTTAACGAGCGATCGTCCGACGCGGTCTCTATCTCCTGTAGCTCAACTGTCGGTATCAATTCCTTGTCAGTATCACCGGAATTGACCGCGTGTAGATATGCTTTACTGTTTTGATTCGTCACTAATGCTTCTCCTAGGTAGACATCCTAGTCGACGCTAAGTCGCGGGATGTATCCTGTCGTGACTTCCGGATTTTGTACCTTGATATAGAAAGTTGCGCGCGACCTGACAGGTACTATGAGAGTTTCGTGTTCGGTTTCCGTGAACGGTATTTGTATTCCCCTCCATGAGACGTATTTTTCCTTTAAATGTATATTTGACGCGTCGCGGAAGTCGTTCCTTAAGATACCTTCTTGCGGTATCGGGAAGTTATTGTTTACTACATGCAATTCGAGGGGATGGCCCATGTAATGAATTTGTATAGACCCGAATGTTTTAATCCTACCTTCCGTTATGCCGCAAAGGTATAACCTGTCGGTTTTACAGATGTTAATCTCGAGATGAACATTTCGTCATTTGACGAGATTAGAAGAGGCGGCTGTAACCACCATAAAAGTGGTTTTTTGTGTGAGCCCGTCAGCGGCTAACGTGACGGTAGGCGCACGTGGAAAATTTTGCGGGTTCAGCGTTGCTATTCGGTATTCCCGGCGGGTTTTGCGTTTATCGGGTTTACCGAGCGTGTTTCGCGTGTCGAGGGCCCTTGGCGAGCGTCACCCGTCGGTCTCGCGGGGCCGGTCTGCGGGTTTCCCTGGTCATTTTGTCGAACGTTATTTTGTACGCACGTTTTCGGCACTCGTTGATTTCGTGTTCGAGGTTTTTGCAATACTTGCATTGTTTTACCTCTTGGCCTGCGTCCGGGCGACCTGTTGTTCTTGAAGGAGGGTCGCGGAGTAGTTGATGGAGTGGTTATTATTGCTGGGAAAAGAGTTAGTGCGCGAGTATTCGTCTCGTGGGCGCTCCAGGTATTGAAGTGCGTTGCGTGGGGTTTCCGCGCGGGAGTAGCCGCTTTGTGGGCAGTCAAATCGCGAATATTCGTATGATGGACGGTCGATGTGGGGGTAGTTCGCTCGGGAACTCATCATTGGGGTCGCGCGGTTTGATCTGGGGTCATTATATCGTTCCCGCGGGGGGAGTGGGAGGTGCGTATTGCCTCTTACTATAATTCGTATTTCCGTTTTTATAGTTTAATCGATCGCGCGTACCGAATCGATTTTTGTCCAATTCTTGTTCTTTCGCGATCATCTTGGCGGCTGAGAAAGCTTCAAAAGGCTTGTAATAAAGGCTTTCTCCCATTTGCGAGCGATATTCTAGTGGTAATCCTTTACAAAATGATCGTCCCGTCAACAAGTTAATTTCGGCTTCTGTCGCGGGTGCTACGGTTCCGGTTTCGCGGCGCTCGGCATCGAGGATCGCGACGCAGAGTTCTTTCACTCGGCTAATGTAATCCAAGATGTATTCTTGCAGTTTCAGATAGATCATACTAAGTTCTCCGCGATGCTATTCTATTATCTTTTTAGATCCGAAGGCAGTTGTCAGAAGATCGATTAATTGAGTTATATTATCGCAGGATTCGTCTTCTACGGCGCTGTAGGCGCGTCCGCGTAATTTATTGATTAATAATTTTCTGAGGTTACTTTCTGCTGAGGGGGGGATGATTTCTTTCGCGCGCCGGCAGGCTTTGTTAAATTGCGACAGGGCGATATTACAACCGTCAAAGCTAGGAACTGAATCCGTGGCTTCGCGAAACGAAACCTTAGGGAGTTGTGTTGATCTCAGGAGGAAAGATCATATTGATATTCCTGGGAATCGCGTAGAGGGAAACCTGGAATGTCGTGATGTTGGGTGGGCTTCCCTACGAAGCTTGAGCTCTCGGCGCATATGTTATAATTCGCGGAGTACTTTGTGGCGCGTCATTACTTACGATGTCCGTTTTGTCCGCTTCCATGTTCTTTTTCATTTGTTTACGATATTTATTAAAATCTCGCACGTTTCTTTTGTACTCCTCGCGCTGTTCTTTCAAAAGTGCTGCTTCTTCCTTTAATTTTTCGTCTTTTTCATTAAGCTTAACCTGTATTATTTCGATTTCCGCTTCGGTCAGCGGTTTGCCCGTGGTTTTTCCGCTGCGGTTATCCGACGTATCAGAATAATTTTATCCGAGTTCTTCTCTAATATTCCACCGCTGTCAGCAAATTTGTTACGTCCCGGAGTGTCGCGGATCTAAATGACTAGTCGGACATTACGAGACTCGATCGCTTTTTCGGGTCTGGCAAACCTAGACAGTTCTCCCCGGGGATGCGCCCGATCTGAAGCACTCGGACTTAATCTTCGGACTCCGTGTCGGTAGAGTCTTCTTCGGGGTATACAATGGGGATCACTATATTACCATCTTGATTAGTAGGGAAATTAGCGGAGCGCAACCAGTAGTCTAGGTACCGCTGAGAAAACTCCGAACATTCGTCGCTAATCCTGGTACTACTTAATCTGTTGCCGCAGCAGTAACATGCGTATCCGATACTCTCGCCAATGATTAGTCTATGTTTTATCGCGTAATTATACTGTAGCCGCTCTTCCGCGGACAAAGGGTAATAACAGAAGCTACAAAGCGTGGTTCTAGTATTATTATTAGCAAATTCGCATGCCTTTTGGCAGAACCTTTGAGATAGGTCGAGGGGGATAGAGGGGGCAGGGGTGATGAGATTATGAAATTCGCGAGGTCGCATTAGGGATGATGTGATTTTAATGTGCAAATTTAATATAGAACTCTGCCTTATAAGGAGAATTCGACCGAGAATAGAGTCCCTTTAACGCAGAATTGGATTAAAGGGATTCGGGAAAGTAGGTCACTAGGTAATCGGGTCAAGAAATATAGGTCACTGGGTCATCAGGTTAAATCCCGATTTGGAATATAGGTCACTAGGTCATCGGATTAAATCCCGATTTGGAATATAGGTCACTGGGTCATCGGATTAAATCTCGAAGGGTTGGATTAAAATTTCCATTTCGGGGCTGACTTCGAGCGCGAATTAATTAGATTCTATTAAAAGGAGACTTTAGTGATTGTTTATTATTGTTGACATTAATTATTATTAATTTAATTCCTCGCAATCGCGTGTAATTCGCGAGACAGTGTTGGCGATTTAATTCGAGGGGTCTTCGAGACACATAGGAATGCGACGAGGCGCCTAAGGGTCGGGTATAGTCATAAAAAGTGACGCCTTACACTCAAAAGAACAAAAGAGCCCGGCGAACTTGTACGGACAGGATTTCTCGAAATCCACTTATTCTTGAGATGTCTCCTATATTTCCTCCAGAATTAATCAGTGCGTGATTCACTGTCGTGGTTGATTGGACTGCGCGGTGATCCTCGTGGGAAAGGATGGAAGCGGGTCGATACGGCGTGACGTCGGCGTCGATAGGGATGAGCTGCTTCAGCCACACGATCTTGCACGTCACTTTTGATGCGTTCGCGAATAAGAGTTCGTATTCCGGATCACAATAATTTTTATCGACGATGAATGAGTAGCGATCCGCGGTGCGTTCGTAATTCTGACGTAATCGGCGTACTTGGTTCTTCCTACCAGCACGGCGAGTTTTAGGCATTATATTTTAAATAATTCTAGGATTAATTCTAGGATTAATTCTTTAAAGCATTCTAGGATTAATTGTTGCGTCGGTTATTGCTCGATGTGCGGTGGTCCTCACTATCGAGAAAACTTCGGCTATATCTGTGAGCGGTGGTCCTCTCTAAACAGATATAAAAAAATCCGAGATCGCAGTATCACAATTGTTCAAAGTCGCAAGGTTAAAATAAGGCACATGCTCGGTAAGGAGATTAAGACTTTGTACATAATCGCGTTTCTGCAATACACGACCTTCTGCCAAACGCAACATGGCGCTACGTACCTAGGAAAAAGAATCCCGCGGATTATGCCACACCGGAAAACATAGCTCATCATTTGTGGTGGAAAGGATCCAGCTGGCTGTCAGACGTAAAATCATCCTGGCCCTCACTCCGTTCTGAACCTGCATCGGCCCAAAACGTTAACTTAGAAGAAGGACCAAGGAATATCCTCGTTACAATCGTTCGATCAGGTGCCTACTGGAAATTGCTGGCCAAATATTCCACTCTCACGAAGCTGATACGAGTCACGGCACTCTGCCGCAGGTTCATCTCGTACCTACGTAGAGTGTCGCAATCATCGCCGATCGAGCATCCACTAACACCTGTGGAGCTCGAGCTAAGCCGCACTTTCTGAATACAAATGGTACAACGAGCTTGATTTGGCTATGAGATCGGAATCATCTCTAAGGGAGAGCAGCTGCCGAAATCCAATCCAATGGTACGACTCATCCCATTCCTTGATCGAGAGGGATTGCTCCGAGTCGGAGGGCGTTTACATAATGCCCGAATCGATTCGGAGATCAAGCATCCGTATATCTTACCAAGGAGATCGCCCCTCAGCAAGCTGGTAATAGATGATGCTCACAGGAGAATGCTCCATGGGGGTACACAAGTCACGTTGGCCTTTATACGAAGAATTAGTTCTGGATCATCGGCGGAAGAGCGCCGATCAGATCTTAGATTCTGAGATGCGGACGGTATGCTCGCTATCGAGGGATCCGGGCGCAGCAGCTAATGGGCCAGCTACTGCTCGAGTGGCACCGGCTCGGTCCTTTTACAACTCGGGCCTTGATTATGCAGGTCCAGTCACCTTGAAGACTTGGAAAGGGCGGGTGGCACGAACATACAAAGGCTATCTGGCTATATTCGTATGCCTCGCTACATCAGCCGTTCATATAAAAGTAGTCACGGATTACACGACTGATGCCTTCATTGCCGCCTACAAAAGATTCACGAGCAGAAGAGGCATATGCGCCTCATTGCAAAGTGACTGCTGAACGAATTTTGTGGGAGCTGATGCAGTGTTAAGACGACAATTTAAGACATCCTCCAAGGAACTACGACATCTCGCATCCCTGCTCGCCAATGACCACACTATATGGAGGTTCAATCCCCCAGCAGCTCCTCACTTCGGAGGAAAGTGGGAGGTGGTCGTAAAATCAACTAAATATCACTTGCAACGAGTGTTAAAGGAGACTGTATTGATCTATGAGGAAATGACAACCATCAATGCAGATAGAAGCGGTCTTAAACTCAAGACCATTATGCCCGCTATCAGATGACGCGACTAACTATAGCGCTCTGACTCCTGGGCATTTCCTTATAGGGGAAGCGCCCACTGCTATTCCAGAATCTGCTCTATTAGACGAGAAAACTTCAAGGCTCTCACGATGGCAACTGCTTAGACAAAAGGTAGACCATTTTTGGACAAGGTGGTCCTTCGAGTGTTTACAGCGCTACCAAGCAGTATCAAAGTGGCATCATCCTTCAAACGACATAAAGGAAGGAACAATGTTCCTCATCGCCGATGAACGCTATCCGCCAGGAAAATGGCTCCTCGCTCGAGTAACACATCTCCATCCAGGACCTGACGGGTTAACAAGAGTTATTACCGTGAGAACGGCTACGAGTGTCAATCATACACTATGGACACATGGCCGGAATTTGCCCTAACATTGGAAAAGGCCCACTATGTTATAAATGTCGGAAATTTGGGCACAAGGCTCCCAGAATGTACCAGTCAAGTTGAATTCATGTCAAGTACGTCGGGGGGCAGATGCAGAGGATCTGTAAGATACAACCAAAATAATAATCTTAGGCCGGTATTCATAGTCCGATCATATATTTGAGATCGTCTTAAGTTCGAGCTTGAAATGCTACGCAGCTATTTTATTGGTTGAATGAGGTCTTAAGTCAACCTCGGACCAGAATTAAGACGATCTTAAATATAAGATCGGACTATGAATACCTTAATCGCGGTGCGTTTCGAGGCGGTTTTACAAGGCGAGGTTTGAAAAAAGAATGGAAAGTAGACATACACATTTCTCGAAAAGAGGTCGATTCAGGAGTGCGAAAGGTTCGGGTAGTTATAAAAACAATAACAATAAGGGCAATGGTGGAAAAGTTAACGAAAGAAGAAAAATCCTAGCCAATCATCGGATCAACAAAATCAAAACAAAGGTGAGTATATATTACAAAACTTAGTTGAAAATAATAGAAAAATGCAAAAATAATTTCATAGTAGAATGTAATCTACTGAACACCGAAGACGTGTACACTACTACGGGTAAATCAAGTTTAGGTAGATGCGTTACAAAATTCCTAGCAGATTCGGACGCGACAGAACATTTGACCAAGTCCAAATTGATTTCAAAACATTCGATGAGTTAAAGTGTGCTGAGATCAGATGCGCGAATAAAAACAACTCAGCGAAAAACGGAGGAAGTAGGAAAAATAGAAATTAGTCTGGAAAATGGTAAAAGTTTAGAAATCGACAAAGTTATTTTTGCGAATACACTCAAAGAAAATCTATTATCGTTGCATAAGTTTGTCGAAAAGGGACTTGCTATTTACTTGGATAATAAAAGAATAGATATTTTTGATCCTGTTTCAAATGAGCGTTTTATATCTGGTGTATAAGCGACCCTATTGGATTGTTGATTTAGAAATTAACACAAATAACGCAACTGACAAAAGCAGATCTGTAATAATTAATAGACGAATACTTGCGAATTTGGCTGAAGGAGAGTTGCCAGAAAATAAATATGTCACGCGAAGCGTCACAGCCAAATTACAACATTTGATACAAAAACAGTCTATTCAGCAGACTGAAAATTTAAGAAAAATTACGGTTGATGTTGAAAGCCAGGAAAATAAAGACAAGAGTTTAAAAGCTTTAAGCGAGAAAATAAGTTCAAATGAGATGTTGGATTCAAACGAATATGATAAACCAAAAAATGCACCATATGAGCAATCAAATTTTGACGTGACTATTTGGGACCGAAAATTTCATGACGTTAATGAACTACCTATAGTTAAATTAAATGATGACGAATCTTTATTTTCAGATGAGAATAAATTTTTTAATAAAACCATGCTGTGGCATGTAAGGTTAGGACATGCGTCGCTAGTCTATCTGAAAGCCTTACAATCAAAATTTCCAAATAATAAAGACTTAAATGATGCCATTTTTGATAAATCAATATTAGATTATGAGGTGTGTTTGATATCGAAATTTAAGAAATTACCTTTCAATTCAACACGTACTAGAGCCACAGCACTTTTGCAAATCATTCATTCGGATATAATGGGTCCAATATCTCCATCCTCATATCCTAAAGGATATAGATTTATATTTGTGTTCATTGACGATCATTCGCGACTAGCAATGGCATATCCCATGAAAAATAAATGCAAAGTAGGACATTGTTTAGAAATGTTTATGCGAAGTGCGAGAAATTTATTGGGGTATGATGCAAAGGTGTGTTATTTAAGATCTGATCAAGGCAAAGAGTATGTAGGCGGATACACAATTGAAGTTTTAAATAAATTAGGCGCGGAATTGCAATTGTCACCTCCCGATACTCCTGAGTTAAATGGTGTGTCTGAAAGGTTCAATCAAACGACACAGAAGAAGATTAGGTATGTAGATCGTATGTATATGATTAAGGATTACCAGAGTATCTATGGGATTTAGTTCTCTCAGCAGCTGTATACGCCTATAATCGCACACCCCATTTTTCAAATAACATATTATACCGTTAGTAAAATTCAATCCACATCATAACTTTGACATCAATCAACTGAAAAGATTTGGATGTGTTGCGTATATTAAAGTCCAAAGAAAAACAGATCCGAAATTTAGAGCGGAAGGAAGGCGAGTTATTCTAGTTGGTTATATACCCATGGGATATCAATTCTTAAGACCGGAGGAAGGAAAATATTATGAAAGTAGAGAAGTAAGATTTAACGAAAAATTAGTATACCGAGACAAATTTGTGAAAAACAGTATTAAAGACTTCCCACAACCAAATGAAGATCTTAATAAAGAAAAGTGGTTCGTTCAATTTAATAAAGGTGATAATGAGTCAGTTCAATCTGATAAAGGTGAAAATGAGTTAATAGAACTGTCAAAAACGGAGGGAGAGATTAAGAGGAAAAGGGGTAGACCGAGGAAACGAAACAGAACACAAGAAAGCTAAATCAAATAAATTGGACGAGACCGTAAACGATAATAGCTTTGACAATTTACAGATCGATGAGAAATGAAAAACAAGAGTTATTATTTACGAATTTAAGACACGGTGAGATAGAAACAGAAATCGATCAAACAAACGATGAAGTTTTTCATGCTATGCTAGCTAACATAAATTCTGATCCACTTAATTACAAAGATGCTATGCACACTAAAGATAATACACTTTGACAGGATGCTATTGATGATGAGTTAAGATCTATGAAGAAAAACAAAGTATGGAAATTAGTTAAACGTCCAGTCTAATGGAAAATAGTCAGAGAGTAAATATATTAGATTCTAGGTCTTTAAACATAAAACTGAAGCTGATCGAAATACAAGGCACGCTTAGTTATTCGAGGATTCAAAGATAACAATAATTATGAACTGAGAGAAACGTATGCACCTGTGTCAAGACTCACCTTGGTTCGAGCTGTATTGGTTATTATCAACAAATACAATTTAATAACGTGTCAACTAGACGTTAAAACAGCGTTTTTAAATGGTGAGATTAAAGAAGAAATTTTATATAAAAATATATATATTTTTATATAATATATATTTTGTAACTTCAAATAACAATTTTCAAATAACAATTTTTTATTGTTACAGGTTTATAGAGAAATTTATTTTTATTTTATTTAAGGAGATAGTTTATTAGTTAAAATATTTTATATAAAATATTATATAAAATATGTTATTTTCATATATTACTCATATTATTTGTATATAAAATGTTTATTTGTGTTCGAAGTTTTGTAACTTCAAATATCATCGTCTTACGAGGATTACTTAATTGTAGATATGAAAAATAATGATTATATTTTTTTATATTTTAATTATATGAAACATAGTATTTTTAGTATTTTTGATATTTTTATTGTATAAGATATATATTATTCATATATTATTTAAATATGAAATATTGATTTGTGTTCGAATTTATATAATATATATTTGTATAACTTCAAATAACAATTTTTTATTGTTACAGGTTTATTTAAGGTTTTATTTAAGGTTTTATTTAAGGAGATAGTTTATTAGTTAAAATATTTTAATTATATAAAATATGTTATATTCATAAATATATGAGTAATAACTCATATTATTTATATATAAAATATTTATTTGTGTTCGAATTTTTGTAACTTCAAATATCATCGTCTTATGAAGATTACATAGCTTAATTATAGATATGAAAAATAATGATATGTTTTTTATATTTTAATAATATGAAATATATTATTAATATTTTTGATATTTTTATTATATAAAATATATGTTATTCAGGTATTATTTAAATATTATATTATTATATAAATATATAAAATTGTTTTTATCTAAAAATTTTTTCCAATTATTTGTGTTTGTAATACAATAATTTGAACAATTGTGAATTTTGAAATAAGAGGAATATTTTAAGGATATTTTGTATCTATTTTCAAAATATTGAGAATTTAATAAAAATTGTATAGAATGTCCTTGTATTGTTTAGAAACTTCAGTACAATTTTTAAATCGACTCACTATATATAAATAAAATTTTGTTATTCCAAAAAGAATAAAATTTTGTTTAATATATAATATATTTAAATATATAATAAAATTTGTTTTTACATAACTTTTTTTCTAATTCTTTGTATCAGTTATTTGAACAACTATATAAATTTTGCAAATAAGAGAAATATTTGAGAAATTCGATAAAAATGAAAGAAAATGTTCTCGTATTTTAGGTATAATTTTTAGTTTTTTTTTAAAATTTAGATTAAAAAAAATTTTTTTTTATTATTCTAAGAAAATAAAATTTTGTTTCCTGAAATGTGTGTGTGTACGCATATGCATTCTCCAACTCCAAGGCTCCAAGGCCCGTTCATTTCACGATTTGCCACCAGAAGTCTCCATGGTATCTTTAAACCGAAGCTGAGAGAGAAAGAGAGAAAGAGAGAGAGAGAGAGAGAGAGAGAGAGAGAGGATGCCGCCATGTCTTGGGATCCGCTTATGATTTCTCGGTGAAAACTATGTACAAGAGAGACGAGAAACATGTATCGTAAAGTATCCGGACGACGATGCTAATTTATTACTTGCGAAAGACAGACACCAAGCCAAGTGACTCGACTCCGAAGTGGATCAATCCGACATCTGTCATCGAGCTGTCAATCGTAAGGTGGATTCTTCGACAGAGGTTATAGGCGCCCAATTATAGCATATCGTCGATATTCCAAACACTATGAGGAATTTCTACGAGGGAGCGAGGGTGAGCGTCGCGTGTCTACACAAATGTCAACTGTGCCCATCAGCTGTTCCGCCCCGACGACTCTCGCTCGCGCGCCCGCACCTTTTGACGTTTCGTTTGACAGATTGTCACCTGGACGTGGGGAGCATATGGAGGAGATTTTAACGATACATCGCGGGTATACACGGCGTTATGCGTGATTACTCATCCTTGACTAGGCGTTGCACGCAAAAGGATTTTCAAGGACGCAGAGAGATTATTCCATATTTTCAAGCATCATCGAACAGGGTACAAACTCTCGAGACTAACGGTAGTCCGAGTAGAATAGTCAAAGTTAGCGCAAAAAACTTCCTAGGACAGATTTATAGTTAATGCATGCATATATATACATAGTGGTAAGTTCATTTCAATCGCAAGAGTTTGGTTTATATTTGCATTATTATATTTTGTTTACATTTATATTGTTATATTTTTATTATTATATTCCTATTATTATATTTATATTATTATATATTTTATATTTTATATTATTATATATTTTATAAATAATATTTATATTAATAATTTATTTAAATATTTATTTAAATAATATTTATATTAATAATAATATATACATGTATATTTTTCAGGTCTTATTTAAAGTTTTTACGCACATATTTTGTGTCGTAACATGAGATAATTAATAGTCAATTGCTATAGCGCAGTGTATCATATGGAAAATGTCATGAGGAATCATAATCATGTTGTACAATGACAAATGACACATGCGCTAATACACAATTTAACGACTAGATCAATAGCGAGATAAGTAGAAGAAGAAACAATGTCAGTTCCTTCCTGCTCGAGTAAAGAGCCGGATAATGTAAACACTAAGGAGAAAATGACGTACGAAAAATGGGAACGTTTTAATAATTGGGTGCATTGTATATGCATTGTTACTTTTGATCTTGAATTGGGTCAAGCTATAGAGGTACGATAATATCACCCTCGCTTTGCTTTAACTAACACAAAATGAAATATTTTTCTATACTAATCTCTCATAAATAATAAATAAATAATAAATAAATTTTCTTTTATGAATTTTAGGCAATTTATCCAAGTCATATTAAATTATCGGAGCAAGAGAGATCAAATGTCTGCTATTTAGCCTTCCCCGATTCCAATTCTGGATGCATGGGAGATACTCAGTATCATGTAAGAATAAGACAAAGTAGCAAAATGGTGCAGGAAACCACTGCGCTTAAGGAATACGACAGAAAATCACCTTCTTTTCTACAAACTGATAGAGATTATTACTGGGGATACGTATATTTTCGACAAGTAAAGGACAAGTCTTTGCCGAGGGGATATTTTCAAAAGGTTTGTGCTGTTCTGAAGCGAGAGACTGCGATTCGCCTGAAATTTCTTTCTATGACCAATCGCAAAATTTCACTTTCAGAGTATTGTTATAATTACAAAACTGCCGTTCGTCAATCTGTTTGGTGAACTGTGCGCTCTAATCGCGCCGGAATTTTTCGAAGCCGGAACCGCGCTCATGGAGGCTGTGGTACGCGAGATTGATCAATGGCCTCCTCCAGTTCCAGGACAGACGGTTCATTTACCTCTTATTGGTGTGTTATTCCAGGTAAAAGATATGCTAAAATTGCTAAAATTATATAAATCCGTTTTATTAATATAACAGGACCAGAAAAGCCCAGTGAGTGGAAAAAATCATGAAATTAATATTAATATTAATATTAATAATAATAAATTCCGATTTTTATTGTCCTGGATTTTTTATCCAATAGAATAAACTGACAAAAATGATAAAAATAACTATTATCCATATTCAAATGTGTTTATACAATTTTATGCAAAAAAATACTTTTTCTTTAATTAATAAATCATCCCAAGGTGCTTAATTACTATAATTTAAAAATTAAAATAAATCTAATAATAAAGTCTTTTTTAATTCAAATTAATATGTGAAATTTTTAAAACAAGAATTTTGAAGATATAAATGTTATTAAATTTTATATTAATTTTTAATAAGAAAAGTGTAATAATAATAGAATTTTATCAATATACACCTAATTTGCATTTTCCTTTTATTTAATAAAAAATCAATTTATTTGCTATCGATTCCTAATCTTAGGATTTTATTTTGGATAAAGCTTAAATGGGAAAAAAATACTCTCAATTTAGACAAATTTAAAAAAAGTTTTCTATGTATTTGAACTTTTTTAATAGAAAATTTTTTATAGACTATTTTTAACCAGTTTTTTCCAAATATAAATAAAGATACATTGCGTATATCAATGTCCAACTGTTTCAGACATATATCCCAAATCAAAATTGTAAAGCCACCATACCCTCAATTGCTGCCATGGAACACGCACCGAATGTACACGCAACACGAAGACTGATGTTGACGTCAGCCTACGAAGGCGACATGTTTCGGAGTTTAGCCAGTGTTGTCAGTTATGTGCATTTATTATGGGAATTGGTGCTTCTCAGCGAGCCGATCGTTGTAATGGCTAGCTCGCCCACCACGTGTTCCGAACTAGTTCAAGCGCTTATAGCGTAAGTAGAATGAAACATTGAAAAAATATTTTTGTCATCTATTTACAATATATACAGGGTGTTTCAGACCACCCGTACCACCCATTTAAAAACTAGAGAAGTGGTTATTTCAAAAATGTAAAAACATTTTCTTTATAAATCGGATGCGCTCTATCGAATGGTGATATTTTCAACTTCTGGTTCTGGCCGGAAATAGGCGATTCAGACCGGAAGTGTAATTTTTTAAATGGAACCCCCTATTTTTCATTGTTATATTCTTGTCATATTCTTGTAGCTTACCTCGAGAGGTATGTTTTCAAAACATTATAATAAATTATTTTTCCATGAAGCACTTTTCGAGTTATGAGGCTTGAAATTATTTCTTAATTTTATACATAAATCATAAAATATCTTGTAAAATATTCATTTTTCGATTATCTTACCTTAATACTTTTAGGTACAAAATAATGAGAAGAATCAATTGGTGTAAAGAAAACACATAGTTGTTTAAAAAAAAAATATGTAACTGTTAACTGCAAATTACATATTTTTTTCTTAAAAACAGCTATGTTTTTTCTTTACACCAATTGATTCCTCTCATTATTTTGTACATAAAAGTATTAAGATAAGATAATCGAAAAATGAATATTTTACAAGATATTATTTTATGGTTTATGTAAAATTAAGAAATGATTTCAAGCCTCATAACTCGAAAAGCACTTCATGGAAAAATAATTTATTATAGTGTTTTGGAAAGCTCTCGAGATAAGCTACAAGAATATGCAATGAAGAATAGGGGGTTCCGTTTAAAAAACTGCACTTCTGGTCTGAATCGTCTATTTGCGACCGGAACCAGAAGTTGAAAATCTCACCATTCGATAGAGCGCACCCGATTTATAAAGAAAACGTTTTTACTTTTTTGAAATAACCACTTCTCTAGTTTTTAAATGTGTGGTACGGGTGGTCTGAAATACCCTGTATAACAGAAAAGAAAACATTCCACAGCATGATCGCGCCGTTAAAATACTGCGCTGATCATCGCCCGTACTTCACCATCCACGACTCGGAATTTAAGGAATACACCACAGACTCTCCGACACCGCCTGCTGTGATTCTGGGCGTGACCAATCCGTTCTTCGCCAAGACTCTGCAGCACTGGCCGCACATCATCCGAATAAGCAACGGCAACAGCAGTGGTAAGTTCTATGACACTTATCTTGACTAGTTTGTGTTGAAGATTTGATGTTTCAGAAGATCAAAAATACAAGATCAAGAGATCTGAAAATCTCAAAGTGCTGGACTCGAAACCTGGCGTTTATACTCAATACAAACCCTTCCTGCAGAAGGATAAGACCATCTTGAAGAAATTGTTCAGAGGCATTCAGACCAAGAGACCGGGCGAGGTGCAAACTGCGCTCTTGAAACGTCACTTGATAGAGCTAACCGAGAGTTTCATGATTCCACTAGAGAGGTACATCGCGACTCTCATGCCGCTGCAAAAGAACATATCGCCTTTTAAGGTAGATCAGTTTTATTTTAATAATTATAGAATCTCATCTCTTTCGGCTCGTGCTAAAATGTAATAAAAATGCGACTACTTCAGGCAACTCCTACACCACAAATGTTCAATCCAGATGACTTCCTAGCTAGCTTAAGTAGCTCTGGTCCCCAGTTGACTACGGGTATAAAGGGAGATTGGGTGGGACTGTACAAACGATTCTTTCGATCGCCCAACTTCTCTGGATGGTTCCACACTAGATATACAGAGTTGAGTCAACAGTTGCAAGCTAAACAATTGGAGAAATTGTCGCAAGCAGTACGTATTAAAAGAAGACGTTGATTTTTTTCTATACCCTCTCTAGTATTCTCAATAGTTTTTTCATGGATAGGACTTGAAGACGTGGGTGCAGGGGAAACAGGAAGTGGAGGTGGTCGATATGATTCTTAGGATTCGTCAAAAGTTGGAGAGAAGCTGCATCGATGACGTACCAATCGATAACTCAGTAAGAGAGAGATTACGAGAAAGAATAAATGACATTACGCATGTATTGCCAGAAGATTTGAAGATTATTTTGAAACGCGAATCTTGACAGTACGATTATATTATCAATATCAAAACTCGCTAATGTTACATTTAGTTTCTACATAAGCTGGGGTTACATTTAAGTCAACTCAGAAGTGTAACATATGTAAGATAATTTCAAGAGTCCACCTCATTTTTTCCTTTTTATTATGACGTAAACGAATGGATGAGACAGACAGTTACAGTTTAATTGTTATAGTTTGAGAATTTATACAATGAATTTTATATAAAACAAGATATTATCACGTATACATACGTATATTTTGAGCTGCAACTTCAAATACTCGCTGCAGACAGGTTGACGAAGTAAATCCACTGTATGCGTAACAGAAATTAACCGCTCAAACATCCTAGATGCTTAAGTATACTACTCAAGTACTCTCGATCTCGCTTTTATACTCTGATATACATAGCGTTTCGTAAATTTATTTAATAATCTTACGTATTTCGTCTCTTCTATTTCGTTCGACCGACTGTAGCAGCTATTTGTGATTTTCTTTGTAATGCCAACTTAATCAGCATAGCTTCCTTTTTCTATTCGATCAAATCATATCGATTAATAATTTTGTATTATTTTAATTTATAATTTTTTTATGATTATCAAATACTGGGGCAAATACTCTATTTAGGGCAATAATAGGAATCTCATGAGTACATGAATTTCAACTCGAGTGGAATGTATGAGGATCAGAATGTTAATCAATGTAAATACATTTTTGAAAGATCTGTAAATATTATGGGATACAAATGATGTGTAATAAAAATTTATTTTAATACAATATCTTGGATTATTATATTTATCTGCAATTATATACAACACATTTGTTGCAGAATATAAAATGAAATTAAAAGTACATTAATTTTTATAATTTTCTACAGTAAACATCTTACATGTATAACTGCAGATTTTATAATGTAACTTTACTTAGAATATTAATTGAATGTGCGTGTGTGTATTCTACAGGGTGGCCCCGAACGTTCCAGCTAGACTTTGAGATCTTATAGGAAATTTAATTCTGAAGAAAAAATTTCCTATAAACATGGGTCGAAAAATGCTTCCTTAAGAAGTTATCGCTCAAAAACCTCTGATGAAGAAGAGGAAAAGGTGAAAAGAAAATGAAATAAAAAGAAAATGAAACTAAATAAATTTCTTGGAAAAAACGATAAAAATAAAAAATAAAATTTTTTTTCTTTTATGAAAATAAAATAAAAGTTAGTTAAAAAAGAAAAATTATTTTATTTTACTATTTATTAATTATTTTATTTTACTGTATATAGGGTGTCCCAAATGTTCTGGATCGATCGAATATTTCATAAACTATGCACTTTAGAAAGAAATGTTTCACACAAAAGTTGTGGCTTGAAGGAGGCCATCAGATAGTGACAATGATTTGACATGGGAGAGTCATTTGAAAGTCACATGAAGACCACGGTCATATTCTTAAATGGAACCCCCTATTTTTTATTACATATTCGTGTAGCTTATCTCGAGAGCTTTCCAAAACACTATAATAAAGTATTTCTTCATTGAACTACTTTTCGAGATATGAGGTTTGAAATCATTTCTTAATTTTGCATAAACCATAAAATATCTAGTAAAATATTCATTTTTCGATTATTTTACCTTAATAATTTTATGTACAAAATAATGAGAGGAATCAATTGGTGTAAAGAAAACACATAGTTGTTTAAAAAAAAAATATGTAATTGTTAATTGCAAATTACATATTTTTTTCTTAAAAACAACTATGTTTTTTCTTTACACCAATTGATTATTTTCATTATTTTGTACATAAAATTATTAAGGTAAGATAATCGAAAAATGAATATTTTACAAGATATTTTACGGTTTATGTAAAATTAAGAAATGATTTCAAGCCTCATAACTCGAAAAGTACTCAATGAAGAAATATTTAATTATAGTGTTTTGGAAAGCTCTCGAGATAAGCTACGCGAATATGTAATAAAAAATAAGGAGTTCCATTTAAGAAATTGACGGTGATCTTCACGTGATTTTCAAATGACTCTCCCATGTCAAATCATTGCCACTATCTGATGGCCCCCTTCAAGCCGTACAACTTTTGTCTGAAACATTTCTTTCTAAAGTGCATAGTTTATGAAATATTCGACTGGTCCGGGACTTTTGGGACATCCTGTATACTGAGGATAATTTGATACATTTTACATGTATTCGGTTCTATAATTATGCTTCAATTATGGAAAAAGCAATGATATACATCAGGGAGAAAAAAGCATTACTTTATAAGAGGTAATATTTCATTTTATTTCATTTCTTACGACTTTTATTGTTACATTCTCCCATTACATTAATAATTTCCTCAATAGTTTCGTCTTAATGCTTGCATCATATTATATATATATATTCTCATTATAATATATCCATAATATATTATCATACTTTCAATGGAGTCAACAACATATATATATATATATATATTTATCCATATGTATACGTGTATACATATATATGTATATTAGATATCGGGTGTATGTTCGTTTTCCATTTGTTCACGACTGTGAATGCGCACACACACACAATATCGTAGGATAGCTTTATTACACAATTAATTCACAGAGTTCGCTTTGTTATTCTGCCGAAGTACACCGCGATATTTCTGGCCTTTGTCTTCTGTCGCTCTCGCGGAAAATAGGAATTTAGCATACCGTTCTTGTTTTTTTCTTTTTTTTTTTACCTTTTTTTGCTCTTCGGTTAGAGAGAGAGAGAGAAAGAGAAGGGAAAATTTTTCTCTCGCGATATTTTCATATTTAGACAGTCGAAGGGATTCGAATGAGGAATTCTCGGCACGAGCCGCGCATAAATAACGAAGAGGGGGATAAATTTTGCAATTATCGTCTTTTTTTTCATTACATACTTCGACAGACTTTAGGCCTGGGGGTGTGAAAAAATTGCGCCACCGAATAAAAGGTACATTTTACAAGTCTTATCGAGACTAATGCGAATAAAAACTTTACAACGAGCTTGCTCTCGGGGAAAGATGAACCCGTTTGATGAAGCGGTGTCTTTGAGAGCACGAGCGGACAGTTTAAATTCTTTCTTTTCCCTCCCCTCTTTTTTACGGGACTTATGGTGGGAAAATCATGTGCTTGAAAAGTAGCTTGTGGAAATATTCTCGCTTTTAGCATACATTTGCGGCGATAAAATAACAATTTTATCCGTACTCATATGATATCATCTTTGCAATAAAATCGCCACTCGCTCTCATTTGTATTGTTTTTATTAAATAGAATTTTAAATCATTTCACAGACAATTTTAATGAGAGTAATAAAATATGGAAGTAGCGATTAACTCTTATATCGATGTTTCCAAATTTTCATTAATAAAATTAATTGTTAGAAATAACGTTGACTCGTATAATTTTTTTACTTAATATTTATTTAATAAAATTTATTTAATAAAAAACAATGAACAAGTAGATCATAGTAAGAAGGTATATCCAAATAAATTAATTTATTACATTTATCAAAATAAAATAAATTATTACAAATGCTATTAACTCGAGTATCTTTCAATAATCTTTTTACTTAATATAATTTACTTAATATAAATAGAGTAAACAGTAAACTTTTAATAAAATATATTGAAATCCTGCGAATTTTATTTTCCTTGCTATTTCTAATTAATTTAAAAAAAAGATAGAAATGAAGATTTAATTTACAATGGATGAATTTTTTTTTAAGCAATACATATGAAATAATAATAAGTAGCATTCGTTTTTATTTATTTGCTTAAATGCTACAAACGTTTCCATTGAGGATATATTGTTATTTTACGCAAAATGTATACTAAAACCTGACACGCGATTCAATGTAAAATTTACAATCCAAAATCTCGTACAGAAAGTCTATACATTCTCTTCCAAGTCCCACCATAAATTTAGCCTTTTTTTTTTACTCCGATGCTTCGCTTTGATCCGACGTTTGTTCACCTTTCCACGCGCCCTTCACCTTATCACATTCGTGTGTCATTGACATTAACGATAATAATCGTGAGCTTCAAGTATCTTACTAATAAATTGATTTCTCTCTTGCTGCCCGAGTCGGATTCGAGATCCGTTTGTCTGCACGGAGAAGATATCCAGGAGTAAAGCTCAATCTCATCCTTTTCTAGAATTTATAATATATATCCTATATATTATTATTATTATTATTATTATTATTATTATTATTATTATTATTATTATTATAATATATTATCTAAATTAATATCTAATTTGGATATTATAAAGATAAATCTGTATTTTAGATAGATCTGTATAATATCTAATTTTTAGACGAAATTTGTAGATATCTAATTAATTAGACGAAATGAAATATTTGGTAAACCATAAATTTGAAACGCGGTACATTTTACTGTCGCAAAAAGTCTCTCTCTTCGTCTGAGAATCAGCTGTTTCTTCTTCCCATCTCTTCTATGGCAGAGGACGATTGGACGGTATGTCGCGTAGAGAATAATCGCACCAATGAAATGTCAGCCGAGTCTATACGGGATACGTAATTAATCTGAAAATTTCATTTCCGCCGCCTTTTAATTTACGATAATTTAATTAAGAATAATATAGAGTGCAATACAAATGCATACGTAATTATACGTGAACGCAACAATTTATTCTTGCGATATTTCGTCCGTACAGACAACGCGAACGCGTCTCGCTCTCACATTTCTTCATTTCTTCACAATATAAACAACGCATAACAAAACACTCCCACAATTGACAAATTAAACATTCTTCTCTCAACATCATCATCATCGACATCATCATCATCGATCGGCACTTCTCGCATCTTATCTACAGGTTTCATCGAAAACATACACGCTAAACAACATATCGTTAAATCTAATGCCTTCCTCATTTTTTTATCAGGGTTGGCAAAAAACTTGTTTTTTTTTATTTTAAACAAAAAACATTGTTTTTCTGTTTAGAACAATGTTTTTTGTTTTATTTGTGTTTTTAAGTAAAGTAAAAAGAAACATGTTTTAAACAAAAGAAGCATGTTTTAAACAAGCAAAAAGTACTTAATAGCTTTGATCTGTGTAAATAATTAAATTTTTCGCTAGCGTTAATCTGTAAATAACGTTGTCAAAATTGACAACGCTATTAAAAATATGAATAATAAAATAAAAATGATAAGATGGGTATTATTTTAGCAGAATATTTATTTTTGGATATTAAATAACAATCAATACAATAAAGATTACTTAGAAGATATTGACTGACTTTACATTTTACATTTTAACATTTTAAATTAATAGTACATAACTCATAGCAGGTCATAGTAGTTCTAAAAAAAGGTTCTAGTTAATAATATTTAATATATAATACTTCCTTTCCTATTCTTATTAAATAACCTCATGCTTAACTCTCAACATAAATTATAAATAAAAGAAAAATAAAAAACCTCAATTCTTCTTTTTAAAAGAACTTTTTTTAGAAACTGACCTGCTATGTGTTATGTACTATTAATTTAAAATGCTAAAATGTAAAATGTAAAGTCAGTCAATATCTTCTAAGTAATCTTTATTGTATTGATTGTTATTTAATATCCAAAAATAAATATTCAGCTAAAATAATACCCATCTTATCATTTTTATTTTATTATTTATATTTTTATATCTATATGTTACATAAATATAGATAAAAAACTAAAAACGAAAACTTTTTTGCAACATACACATCTATAAGTTTTTGTTTGTTTTTTATTTTTTTTACTATTTCTTTTCCAAATAATCATATGTTTTATTTGCGATATTTTAAACGGTTTTAAATAGTAGTTTAAAACAGTTTAAAACAAAAATGTTTAAAACAGTGTCCACTGTTTTAAACAAGTTTTAATCATACAGTTTTAAACATATGCCAACCCTGTTTTTTTTTAGCCACAGGTCAGATCAAAAATATCATCCATCGAGCCGAATCGATTCTCGCATCATCTTTGGTATACTCCTTCGTGGAATTACACATTTCGCGATCGAAATAGTTATTGACAATTAAAAATTTTTGACAATTAATAATGACAAGTATCCAGTGTTAGATTGGAAAGAAAGAACGACGATCATCGGTGGCACCTTTTATTATGCGCTTTATTCTTTTTCCTTTTTACAAAAGCGGAATTTTTGTTTTTCTTTAATAGAAAAAAAATTATGACGGATTGAAAACAAATTATGACGGATAATTTCCAGAATTATTTCGTAGCAGAAAGTGCGCCGCCGATTCGAATAATCGTCGAAACTGTGTCTCTCTCGATCCACGGCAGTGTACAATTTATTTTCAATTGTATTAATTTATTCCAAAGAGAGAAAATTGTCGATTTTGCGGCCACGATGATGAGCGGTCGACCCGTGTTTCCCAGCGTGTGTCGAGAAATTAATTAATTTATATATAATATATATATAATATCGCATAATTTTGAAATGAAAAATTTCATTGTTACAAACGTTATATCTTCGGACAAAGCTGTCCAATAATTGACACAAGTGTGTATATGTGCGATGTTGATTAATTCACGTACTCACCAACGCAAAATTCGTCGTATCATAGCTCGGGGGCGGATGCACGAATATTTTACGATCGTACGAAAATATAATCGTATGAATACGATTAGTCTTTTTCTTTTCTCTTTCGTCTCCGAGCTATGAAACGACGATTGCCATCATCGTGCCCGAGAATCGCAAAGAATTCGCGCTGTTTTGGAGAAAAAGAAAAAAAAAAAGAAAAAAAGAGAGCAAGGAAAATAATGAAGATACAACATTTCTATCTTTCTCTCTTTCACTTTCACACACTTATGCTTTTTATAATACAATCTTCGCTTTTACACCGCCATTTTTCACAATTTTCAGCCTGCATCCTGCTCTTATTCTGCTCCTCGTTTCCCGGAGACAAACCGATCCTCAAAGAACCCATGCGTTTCTTTATTCGCGTTTCCTACCCTCGGGAGACATCGACACTGGATCAAGATGAGAAGAGGAATCTTTTCGAAGCGGTGCTTTGTGACTCGACGAAAGGAGGGCTTCCAGTCTTTCAAAGTTGACGGAAAAGAAAGGTAACAAAACGCAGTTTTACAGATGTAAAAAGCTTCTCGATGTAAAAGGAGAGGAGAAAATTCCATCAAAAATACAACGATCAAAAATTATTATCCTCGAATAGCACGCAATCTCTGCATAAGTAAAAAGAAAATAATGGAATCGAATTCTATCGCAAGAAGATTATTTTAACAGAATTTTTACATCCATTTTTTCCCTCACAATTGAATCCCAGTCGAATCGTTCGCTCGAAATAGATTCTCTCTTCTTACACGTTTTTTTTTCAAACAACGTGTATCCTTAATCGATCTCTCGTAGAAGAGACAACTCGATTCGTCCTTCTTCTCCTTCTGCTCGACGAGAGAGTGATAAACGTAAATAAACAAATCGCGTGGAAAAGAAATCCGCGAGGAGCTTCTCCCTCGATCGGTGAGGAAGAGCAGTTTCGAGCTCCGCCGATAATGCAGATCCATTTAACCGGTCACGAGGAGGATCTCCTCCTTGACTCACTTGAGATCCTCGTCGTCCTCGTTGGCAAGCAGCTCGTCGATGTGCTTCTCCCAATCGTTATCGTTCACCGTCATGTCTCTCGTGGCGATGACGTTGCTGCTGGTTTTCTCGTGGCCACCCGTTACAACCTCGTAATCCTTTAGCTCGGCCTCCAACTCACGTTCCCAATCTTCTTCTACGGAGAGGCACAAGCAGCGTTGTAGCTATTTTGCAGAGAGGGCCGCACTCTGGTCTTTTGTTTGTCTGTCTGTTTTTTTTGTGTCTTGTGTCTTTTCGCTTGGTGCTTGTGTCATATCCGAGCTTCTCGCGCGGAAATGACAAGTATGTATGTAAGTGTAAGTATACGTGAGTGTACAGAGTGGGGATCGTGAAAGAGGCGAGAAAACTCAAAATTACGGGAACTCGGGAGAAACCCAGCAAACATCGAATAACAGTTATAGAACTGTTAGTTATTAATTTTCCACTCGACAATATAACTGTTACATGCCCTCTTACAGCGATTATAAGTACAGCACTGTAAATCAGTGATATTTTATTGAAAGAATCTGTTAATAATTTTGACTGTTTCAATCAGTAATATTTCTTTCTATCGTCAGTAATATTAAACTATAATTCATCTCTTCATAATTTTCATTAAGTTAGACATTTATTTGTCCGACTGATATAAGATCGATTTAATATCTGAAGTATCTTTATTGAGATTGTATCAGAAATTAAATCGAATTAATACTTCTAATTTTATCTGTCGCTCTTTCCAAACTTTATATAATTCTTATAACTAAATATGATTGTAGCAGTAAATGAATGAATTAGCGATTACTGATTTTACAGTGAAATTTACTGGTTTTATAGTAAATTTTATTTTATTTTAATTGACCATAATCAAGTGAGATATAAGATAAAATAACAAAAAAATAACTTTCCACTGAAAATCAGTAAAATACTCACTGATTCTCAATGAAATCTTATTTTACTGTTTAAATTAGTGATATTTTCACTGAAAAACAGTAAATAGTCACTGATTACAGCAATTATAAGTACAGCACTGTAAATCAGTGATATTTTATTGAAAGAATCAGTTAATAATTTTGACTGTTTCAATCAGTAATATTTCTCAATATCGGTAATATGTTTCTTTCTATCGTCAGTAATATTAAACTATAATTCATCTCTTCATAATTTTCATTAAGTCAGACATTTATTTGTTCGACTTAAGATCAATTTAACACCTAAAGTATCTCTATTGAGATTGTATCAGAAATTAAATCGAATTAATACTTTTAATTTTATCTGTCGCTCTTTCCAAACTTTATACAGGGTGGCTCCGAACGTTCCAGCCAGACTTTGAGATCTTACAGGAAATTTAATTCTGAACAAAAAATTTCCTATAAACATGGGTCGAAAAATGCTTCCTTATAAAGTTATCGCTCAAAAACTTCTGATGAAGGAAAAGCAAAAGGTGAAAAGAAAATGAAACTAAATAAATTTCTTGAAAAAAATGATAAAAATAAAAAATAAAAATCTTTTTCTTTCATGAAAATAAAATAAAAGTTAGTTAAAAAAAAATTATTTTATTTTCATAAAAGAAAAAGATTTTTATTTTTTATTTTTATCATTTTTTTCAAGAAATTTATTTACTTTCATTTTCTTTTTATTTCATTTTCTTTTCACTTTTTGCTCTTCCTTCATCAGAGATTTTTGAGCGATAACTTCTTAAGGAAGCATTTTTCGACCCATGTTTATACGAAATTTTTTGTTCAGAATTAAATTTCCTATAAGATCTCAAAGTCTGGCTGGAATGTTCGGGGCCACCCTGTATAATTCTTATGACTTACTAAAAATTAAATACGAAAAAGATAGCGATCGTAGCAGTAAACGAACAAACTAGCGATTACTGATTTTACAGTGAAATTTACTGGTTTTATAGTGAATTTTATTTTAACTGACCATAATCAGTGAGATATAAGATAATAAAATAACAAAAAAAATAAACGTTTCCTGAAAATCAGTAAAATATTCACTGATTCTCAGTGAAATTTTACTATTTAAATTAGTGATATTTTCACTGATTCACTTTTAGAGAATGTTATGTAATAGTTACATAATATTGTTGAGTGAGAAATTACACCTAACAATTATATAAATGTTACTTGGTGTTTGCTGGGAAAAAGGCAAAAGACAGAGAGAGAAAGAGAAGCGAAAGGGGCAGGGGCATCCACGACCTCCTCTCTTCGCTTCGAGAGCTTAAATTCAGCTCGTTAAACGCGTTGACGTTACGTTAGTAGCTTCTGAGAGAGAAACGAAGACAGAGGAGTGAGAAATTATATTACATGATTATTAAGGACGACGCGATCGTGCGCTTCTTTCAAATCCCTGACGACGACGACGACTACTCGTTGTCGTCGACTACACTAGCTCTCACCGGAAAATGGCAGCGAATTACCCGGAGAAATGGCTAGCTCATCACGTTAACGTTTAACGTGTACTCGTTACAAAAGTGAATGACTCGCAATTACAAAAGTAATTACTTGGGATATCGCGACTTAAACGCCTCGGAATGTAATTATCGGAGCAACCCGCTGCTGTGATAATCCTCGTTGCGCTAAATCAGCGATGCCATAGATAAATAAAAAATTATATAACGATAAAATCGATATTTTATATATACGAATATATAGTGGATGAAATTTTATGCAATTATATTTTAAAAGGATTTTTCTACGCGCGCGCCAAAAAAAGGATAAAAAACGATGGATTAAGTTTGTGTGATATATCATTTCGATAAAATTTTACGTGTACAATTTTTTTTAATATACACAGAGTGTCTTAAAACTTGTAAAAATATTCCCTGATTCGTCGGATATTTTTGTTCAAAATTTCGATATTTTTAAGTTAAAATTCAAGAAAAAGATAAAGAGAAAATTTTAAAGATTTTTTAATGCAATTTCTAAAATAAGATTTTTTTATTTTTTATTTTTATTTGCGATTTTTAATCCTTTTCCCTCATAAAAAAGGAGAAACACAAAGCTACTTAAGTTTCAAGTTGTTAGATTTGCAAATGCATTGAAAAAAACTTGAATAGGACTTTAAATAATTTTTTAAAATTATAAATCAAATTGATAATGAAAAATTGTAATTTGGGGGTTAGTCAAATTTTATTAAAAAATTTCCTGATTTCTAAGGCTCAAAGGTAAAGGAAAATTTTTGTAGAGATTTTTCGGCTGCAACTTTCTAAAATAAAACATTTTTCTGGTGCTAATTCTTTATTCATATTCAGGAAAGAAAGAGAATTATTTAAGTTTCAAGTGGTGCATTTTTCAAATATAAAAAAACTGAACAGCTCTCGCGAAATAAACATTATTCACTTGCATAACATTTATTATCACTAAAAATTATAATAAAGAATTGCGTTACATATTCTGTTATTCCCTGTTTATATCATATATATAAATACTTTTATAATAAATTTTAAACTCGTATTTCATTTGGTTTACAATATAAGAGAAAATCATCAATGAGAGAATTTTTCAAAAAAAATTCCAGAATAAAATCCAGAATAAAACTTAATTATAAAATTCCACGAAAATTTCTGGATTTTTTCAGATACAAAAGAAATATCAAACTTTTCATGTTTTTCCGGAAAATAGATATCCTATACAGTTTGTGTTATAAAGCGCATTGAACAGATTTCGACATTGCTTGGACCAAATAAAAAATTCATTTAAACCCGAATTTATCTAATATTATTATACATATGAATAAAACTAGTAGTAGTAGTAGTAGTAGGCTCAATAAGTACGCGGCCTCTATTTAATAACGCTAAGCCTTAAATAATGCCATAATACTCTGACAACTAAAACGAGCTTGCGAATTATCCTAAGACGTAGCTTATAAACGTAGTTTTCACATAGGTAAACGCGTCCGTTTCTTATAAAAAAAGAGCTTGTCGCTTTTTTTTTTAACGGAACGACATGAAATACTGAAGAGATATCGCCTTTTTTTTACGGAATGACATGAAATACTGAAAATGTTTCGCAAAATGCTTGCGTCCGCTCTCCTCGCCGTTCGTCGTCCTCTCTTGCGCCTCGTGTCAAGCCGAGAGAAAGAGAGAGAAAGAGAGAGAGAGCGATATTTCGATATCCACGAAGTCCCGTGCACCGGGAAAAAGTGTGTAACCGGGAACCGAAAGCCATAATTCAGTTGTCGTCCGTTTTATATCGGACCAAAAGCGGATAATCCACTAGTTTCACGAACGAGAATCTATTATTGCGGCGTTTTCGATAAGATTGTGTCGATTAACGCGAGAAAAAATATAATGCATAACTGTTATATACATATATAAAAGGATCCGCCTCTGTTACTTGTCTCGCGATAAACTATACATCTCCGGATGCTTTTTTATCTTTATCTTTTGCTTTCAACTTTAATGTAAATATAAAGTTGAAAAAGTCATGGGGATATATGTATGCATATATTTATACATGGAATGTACACATATTTAATCGTAATTAGCTTCTTTTTTAACTAAACATTGAATCAAGCTTATACAGGATGTCTCGTAATTAATACAATCGAGAAGGTAATAATTCTCTATGAAAAAAAAGTCGAAAAAATTCCGAGAAAATTGACTTGAGAAATTTGGAAAATTTTGTTTAAAAAAATAGTTAATATAATAAAATAAAATAAATATTAAATATGATATTTAGAAAAATAAATATTATTTTTTGTGCTAAATAAATTCTATTTAATAAAAATTAAAATGTAATAAAAAAATAATATAAATGAAAAAATTAAAGAAATATTATGTGTACAAAATATTTGGATTTTTAATTAAATTGAAATTTTATTCTTTTAATAAAAAGAAAATATATCTTCATGCATATTTGATAGTGCTGTCGCAAGATAAATTCGACGACTATATTACAAGATTATAAAAGATCATTCAAGCTTAAAAAGCACGATGTCATCGATTTTTAAAGCCGATTTTCCCGGAAATAAATTTCGCATGAGAAAGCTACATTTTCGATTCATCTTTCATGATGATAAAAATTATCATTTTTCCGATTGTATGCACCAGTTTTACAGCCTGCATATTTATTTCACCCTCTCTGTATCGTAAATGCTATCATATATATACAGGGTGGCCCCGAACGTTCCAGCCAGACTTTGAAATCT